CCGGGGGCGGTTGCGCGGCCTGTTGTGGGCTGACAGGAGCGTTCGGGAGGAAGCCGCCCTGGTGTTCGGGTCAGGGTCAGGTTGGGCCTTTGGCCGCCGCGCTGATCTCTGCGGTGCGTTCCGAGCCCTCGGTACCCACCGCGGGAGAAATTGGGGACGAGATTCTGCTAAAGAAGGAGGAACAACTAATTTTCGGTGTCGAGGGGACCGGGTGGAAGGGCGGTTGTTGGTCCTGGCCCCGTTGCATGCTGGCTGTGCATCGGCAAGGCCCTGCGGGTCGGGATGCGCAGGTGTCGGTGTAACGGATGCCGGGTGCCAAAAATCACAAATAACCATTGACAGTGAAAACGAAGAGCCGTGTTATCGTTTTCCATCCTGGAGGAGAGGTTTCCTGCTTTGGAGCTGTTGTGGTCACCAGGTAGATTCACCTGAGGGCAGGGTTATTTATATTCTCTGGTGAAGTTGAGGAAAATTGGCAGTGAGGAATATGGGCTCAGCTCACAGCATTAGGCTGATTTTTAGCCGGCCCAGTGACACGCTATTTCACTGAATTTCACTGAATTTTGCTGAGTTTTTAGAGTTGGAAGGGACCATAGAGATCATCCAGTCCAACCCCCCTGCTGAAGCAGGATTGCCCAGAGCTTGTCAGAGCATGTTACTCAGGAGCATCCAGGTGGGGCTTGAAAATCTCCAGAGAAGGGGACTCCACACCCTCCCTGGGCAATAATAGCATTTTGTTCCAAGTAATTGCAGATCACCATGTGTATTTTTGAGCCACGCAGAGGGGTTCTTTCCTTTTGTCACTTGCAATGCTACTTCTTCACAATGCACAGTACAGAGCAGGCAGATAAAGGAGGATCTGGCATGGAGTGAAACTAATAGATGAACATAGAGAAATCCCAGTGGTTCCCAGTGAGAGGACGAGGGGCAATGGGCACAAGTTGGAACAGAAGAGGTTCCACTCAAATATGAGAAAAAACTTCTTCACAGTGAGGGTGGCAGAGCCCTGGAACAGGCTGCCCAGGGAGGGTGTGGAGTCCCCTTCCTTGGAGATCTTCAAGCCCCACCTGGATGCTCCTGAGTAACATGCTCTGACAAGCTCTGGGCAATCCTGCTTCAGCAGGGGGGTTGGACTGGATGATCTCTATGGTCCCTTCCAACTCTAAAAATTCAGTGAAATCAACACCCTGGGTGCAAATGGCAAGGTATGTTGGTGGTGAAGGAGAGAGCTAGCAGAGCTGTATTGTCACGTTTCTGCAAAAGGGTCGTGAAAGCGTCTGTCTGGTTTTTGTCATGTCTTTTTTTCCTGGCATCTCTCTCCTAATTTTTAATAAATTCTCATTGTGAGGGAATTACTTTGACTTGAAGGCTGATAAAGGTACTCCTGCGAAGTAAGTACTCTACTTAGGAAAGACACGGGTCACAAGAACTTTTCAGTAATTTGTGAAAAGAGTGTCAAGGGAAACACTGGTGTGGGCACCTTCATGAAGTCTCCATATGCTTTTCCTTCTGTTGGTCCATCTAGGGGACTTTGTGTCTAATGAGCTTTCTCAACAAAATGCAGCTTGCTTTTGGTGCCTTGTGAGAGGTGGGTTGTTAAGGCATGCAACTAAAATTATGAATTGTTTGTTGTTCTTTCTTACATGATATGTATCTTGGTCTGAAGAGAAGCAGTCCAGAGGAAATCTGTGGTACACTGTTAGCACTGTTTCAGTCAGCATCTTCTCTCTCCCACCCTTCCTTCTCCCCCTCAGGCCCCAAATACAGTCGAGTTACCCCAGTTGCAGTCTTCTGTGAGGTGCTTGACATTTCAGTTTTGCATTGTGAAATGTCTCTCTTTGGATGCTTGTGTGGAGCTGGTCTGTGTAGGGACCCCATCATCCCACCATGCTTAACAGCCGTTGTGTCAGTGTGATGGTAAACAGGGGTTTACAGAGTTCTGCTTTTGGTAATAGTTGGGGATACGCAGCAAAGAATGACGTTGCATAGACTAAGGGCTACAGGAAGACAGGTGCATGAAATGCACTGGAGAAAGTAGCAGAAAACAGGAGATTTGTGGGAGTTCTGTACAGCCAAAGTAGCAGAACAACTGGGAGTCTTTTGCCTGCGGAAACTGTAAAAAAAACCAAAAAAACAACCAAAAAGAGATAGTGTGCAGCTGTGAGGGTTTTCCCGAAGAGGTGTGGGGTGATGTGGAGCCATGCTTGTGCAGCAGCAGCAGCCTTGGGTCTGTGGGCAAGAAAGCATAAAGAAAGGTCAGACTTCACTTATGAGCTGTTTCCATTTCTGGCAACAAGAGACAAGAAATTGCATGCGGTTCGTTAATTCAGCAGATCTGTCGGCATCTATTCTGAGATGCTATTTTGGAACCCATTCGGCTGTTTTACCTACCACAGCATACGCGCTTTGGCTGGTGATTCTGATGAGACCCGAGGAGGCTGTTCAGCTCTTGAATGCCATTAATTTCTGAGAGAAGAGTAGCAGTGCCGAGGGTGGCTTGTGGGGTATGTATCTTCTCAGCAATTAGTTTGAAGCATCAATTCCTGCGCTGAAAAATTATATCAATTTCTAGTTCCGAGTATATTTGTTGTCAGCTGATCTCATCTAAGTGTTCAGTTTGTGTAGTCTGAACTTCCAAAACCCATTCTTTGGGAATAGAATCAGCAAGAAGTAGGGGATCAGACCCTGTCGTTGTGACAGAGTGTCTGTTGAATTCAGGAATGGAAATAGGAAGGAAAATAAACTCATTCATTGTGTAAAAAGTTTTGCATTAACCCTTGGCCTGAGCACAGGCAGCAGGAATGGGAGGATCGGTACTGAAAGGTGATTTCACATTGCCAGCAGGGTTTTGGATCTGCAGCCCCTAAAAGCCCCTACAGCTTTGTTTTATTGATTGATGTAGTGATTCATCTTAATTTAGCTGAAGTGAATTGCAGATAAATGTAGACCCATTGCTGTTATGGGAACTCCTGGGAAGTATGACGTGTCTGACTGCTAACTGGTTTAAATATTTCAGCCTTAATCCCTGATGATGGTAGGCAATGCCTAGGTAACCAAGGTGGGACCTCTGGTGTCTCATTTGTGCAAAGATGGAGGAGACATGCCCATAAAATATGTATGTTTTGTGTCAAGAGATGGAGAGAAAAGGTTGTAACTAATACAGAGGCTGCCCTCAGTACGTGAATTGTTGAGAAATGGCTTGCACTTCAGTGAAACAAAGCAAAGTTTTTCTTACTCAATCATTTTATTCTGAGCTATTGTTATTCTAGACGCCTACCCGTGATGATTCCACCATCTGCAACAACCCCTGTCAACGATGCTGCACTTTTGCCAAGCGTGGCTTCTCAGGAAATCTGGAGGTCACAAATTCCAGGCTATTCTGGATCAGTCACACGGCACATAAGCCATCGGGCCAACAACTTCAAGAGACATCCAAAAAGGAGAAAACACATCCGCCCTTCGCCACCGCCACCGCCAAATACTCCATGTCCTATTGATTTGATTGATTTTGGGGATCTCCAGCCTCAGAGGTCTTTCCTAGAACTCCTGTTTAATGGGTGCATTCTCTTTGGGCTTGAGTTCAGCTATGCCATGGAAACAGCCTATGTTACCCCTGTGCTGCTTCAGATGGGGCTTCCAGACCAACTGTATGGAATGGTGTGGTTCATCAGCCCTATATTAGGTAACTTTTCTTTACACTATTTCTTTCCTCTTGTTTTTTTCCATTACACAGGTATTTCATATTTTCATTTTCTTTACCTCAGCTGTTAACAAGCATGTTCTGTGTGGTCTTGAGATTAAGAAGCACTAACCATAATTTTAGACAACCAAACATAGAATAATTCTTGCTGTGTCTTGCTTGACACGAGCCCAGTGTGATCAAAAGGGTCTGTTCTTTTAACCAAACTCTTACATCTTGCATGAGGGTAAGCTTTGGTTAGTCTGTTCCTATATTTAAAAACTAGCAAAAGATGATCAGGATATCCGTTGTGTCCCTATGAAAAAAGTGCCCAGAGACAGTTCCCAAGGGTATGTGAAAAAAGTAGAGTGAGATTGTCTTCTCCTGTTTAATGAGGTGTTCCAACGATGAAAGACCATTGACTGCTGCTGTTATGGGCATTGGATTACTTGCCTTAGCACAGAGCCAGGGCCGGGATCGTATCTACTATTGTGGGAAGAATCATAGGATGGGCTATTGCCACTTGGCAACTTTGTTCTGCCTGTTCTTCTACTTGTGGGATGCACTTGAGAAGAGAGTAGATAGGCCCCTACTCATAGGCTGGCCCACAGTAATAGAGGCACCTTTCCAACTTGCATGTTTGCTTGGGGCTCTCCCATCGAAGATGGAGTAAATGAATATGCTAAACAGCAGAATTTGACATCTAAAGGAATTCCTTTAGAATGGAGTCCTTTAGAACATAAAACTGTTGTAGTCTTATTCTTCACCTGATGTCAAATGCTGCTGTATTGATGATGCAGAGTGAACTGCCATGGCAGTGAGCGGTGGCACATGACGTTATTCAGTCCCCAACCTGAGAAATGCCAGGATGTGTGTGCACTTGGGTGACTAGTACTAGCTGGGGATATCACTATGCCATGGTGTGCTGCCTTTAACTGCCTTTTAAAGTACCTATTTTGACTCTACCACGAAACTGGCTTGTAAAAAAACGCTACTAACTGACGGTTCCTCTTTCCTAGGGTTCTTGTTACAGCCTTTACTGGGAGCCTGGAGTGACAGATGCACATCAAGATTCGGGAGGAGAAGACCTTTCATTCTGGTCTTAGCAATAGGTGTGTCTTTTAGAAACAACGGGTGTAGCACTTACAAAGTAGAAACATTGAGCATCTCTCATCTGCAGCATCCCCCGTGGCACTAGGCCGAACAAAATATCTCTGAAGTGTTGGGTACTGTGGTTCTGAAGAAGGTAGTGAGTGGCACTGAGGTGATGCTTTGGCAGCCTGTGATCCACACATAAAAGCATCTCTTGTCAGAGTCTGAAGAGATGATGTTTTGGGGTCAAGAATGTTTTTCTTTGGCCAAAACCAACTCCAGACGTTTGTACGCTTGAACGGTGGAAAAGGGTTATGTATATCCTATAAGCCATGCTCATTCCCCAGACTGTGACAATCTGAACAAGAGCAGTAGTACTTGCCACAAGGCTGTGCAAGCAGCATAACACTTTTAGAGTATGGAGCAATGCACATTTTTTGCTTGTAGCAGTCAATTGATTGATTTTGTTTTGTTTTATTCCCAGGAGCGTTGCTTGGGCTCT